GAAAACGCTTTTCTGATTGCAGAGGAAGAGGAGCTGAAGGAGGCTCGCCGAGCACTGTCCTGGAGCTATGACATTCTGACCAGCCACTTCCCGGTGAACCCACTGGTCAAGAGTTTTTCCAGGCTCCTTGTGGTGGGCCTGGGACTGCTGCTCTTTGTATTTCCCCTGCTCCTCCTCCTTTTGGAGTCAGGTATTGATCTCTCCTTCTTATGTGAAATTCGCCAGACGCCAGAGTTTGAGCAGTTTCACTATGAGTACTACTGTCCTCTCAAGGAGTGGGTGGCCGGGAAGGTGAACCTGGTTCTCTACATGCTAGGTTGCTCATAAGGCTCCTATCTCTTAAGACTAAGGGCTATATTCAATACTAGTGATTTGCTTACCCAGAAACACCCAGTCTCGAAGTGGTCATGGAGCATCAAAGGGTGTTCCTTCATTATAGCATATTATTCCCACCTTTAAGTTGGCTTTCCATAATTCACTGCACGCCAATACATTTAAATCAAATACAGTTATTTTAATTACAGATCAGCTATCAGAAGATAGCTTTTAAATAACAAAAAAGTTTCTTTTTATTATAGTGTAGTCATACTGTTTATCTATTAAGTCATAATGCATTCTGATTAATTACATTTTCCTTTTTTAAAAAAACATAATTGGCACCATTCCAGGCTATCAGGTTCAGAAATCAGAATTTTAGTAAAAACCCAAGAGACAGTTTTTGAATATAATCCTTAGTGGAAACAATGTCCTCTAACCAATGCCTATACAACTAAATTTATGCTGGGATTTGTTTTTGTTTTTTTAAAACTATTTTTATGTGTTCAAATATTTTGATAAATTTTTAGCAAAAAAAATTAAATAAACCTCCTGGAGTTATTTACATGTACAGATTGTAAAATTAATACACAAAGGCATGTTGAGAATTTTAAAATTTGTTTTTTAATATTTGTGGCTCAAAACCCCATAATTTGTTAAACCTACATATGAGATAGTCACTGGTTAAAAGACACTGCAATAGACAGCTCCTGAAAAGAGATGATGGATTTGCAGGATGTTGGACAGAGCATCAGGCGGATGCAGGATGGTGCATTTGTCAAGGGATTTGCACAAATGACTTATTACTTTCATTTGCATTCTGGCCATAATCTTTGGCTAAGGAATCAGAAAACTTTTTAAAATGACATTTAAACTTTAAAGGTAAAAGATAATGCCAGTTAATGGCATCTGATTGTACATTAGCCTAAGAGCAGAAGCAAGTAGGAATTGAATGGAAGGTGACAAAAACAGAATTTCTAGTAGGCAAGTGGGAGTAGATAACTGATCTATTTTATGAACGTGATGGTGATGTGTGCTGTTCGATGATGTCAGAAACAGTATACCCATTGTCAGAATGGACACATGGATCTGAATAAAGGTGAAGAAACTTTAAGGTAAATTTTGGTCCTTCATACCATTCATTGTGATTCTGTGGGGAAAACATCAAAGGGAGTGGGGGGGTGTCCGTGTGTGTATCTGTGTGTGTGTGTGTGTGTGTGTAAGACACAAAAGAGAATGATTGCTTTTATAATTTCCTTTGTTGTGATAATTATATTCCTTTCCTCTGCCTAATTACTTAATATCTTAACTTCTTCTCCTTTGGGGTGGTCATTGAGAAAGTGAAGGGCAATCAGCGGATCACATACCATTTCAACTCTGGTGAAGTAGTGAAGTGACAACCTCACATACCATGGAGGGAACAATACTTTAGTTCCTTGCTCCATACTGTTATATCCCTGGAAGCAGGGGTCCGATGCCGTCCCCTGAAGAGTGCTAGCAATTCTGTGGGGTATGTGAGAAAGAAGACTATGTAGCATTCAGCCTGCAGTGTAGGATTTTCCCATGGATTGGTACTGTCCCATTGCCTTCATTTTACATAGAATTGGCTCTCCTGGAATCTCCATAGTTCTAATGACACTATAGCCCTAGAATCAGCATCGTTTCCAAATTGGGCATTCTGGTCACTCATGCAGTGCTCACAAGTGCTTTATGAGATGATTACTTTTGAAGATAATATCAGCTCAGGAAGACCCCGGTTGTGCTAAGTGTCATCCAGGTTTGCCATTAGGTCTTCAAAGAGCTCATCCTCATGTGTTCTCAGTGAGCTGTTTGCTTTTAATAAAGAAGATTTAATATCTAAAGTTAGTTACCAGTATAAAAATGTATTTTTGATGGGTGGCACCCTCAACAATTAGTTTAATTTGGATGTGGCCATAGTTTCTGGTTTTTTTCTTAGATGATTTCCAAATCATATGTTCTGACACAAAGATACTCCAGTGTAATCCGCACAGTAGTCCCCCTTCTAGTCATGCTTCAGATAATTGTCCTTAAAGTTCTAATCATGACAAATCACCCAGCCCTCACCCTTTTAAATATTACCTAATATTTTTTAAAATTATGAAGTACTGTATTTCTCATTATAAAGTACTTGCGTAATACTGACAGGATAAATGCAGATAAATCCAACCATGCAGATTTATGTTAAGGGATGATACATATATTATTTCAATATTCTCCACTGATACTTTCTTTTTCCTAAAGCAGAAACTGCATAGTTAAGTGAAAATTATTTTTAAGCAAAGGAGTTAAACAGGATAGGATGTGCTGCATTTAACAGTAACCACCCAACGTAAAACTAGGATCCTGTAATATTATTAGGTCAGCATATATCAGAGCCATTCAAACTCTCTATTGAAGTTTTGTTAGATTTACGCCACCAGTTGCCTGAATCAAATCAGGAAAAGAATGATTCAGCCAATGGACAGTATATAATACAGAAGTACACAGTTCAAAGCAAGTGTGTGAGTATATGTATATCCCATATTATTGCTACATGTGTGTTTCTATATGAATCTGTATATATGTGCATATCTGTGTACACATAACTGACATGCCCTTCATATGCATCATTGTGTTTATTTAACATTAATTAAAGAATTCTTGATCTATTCTTATTCCTATTCTCTCTCCATTATCATGGCGAGTACAATTAATTCATAGCCTCAAAGGTTTACATTTTTCATAAAAACCACTGTGTGTATATTGTGAAGATATACACACACATATATGTGGCAAATACATATGCACACAGTCTTGTTTTTAGTGCTAAAACAGTTGGATCATGGAAAAAAATATAGGTAAAGTTTCATGTGCTCTCTCTGTGCTTGGAACAAATTGTAAAAATTAATGTATTTGGAATATATTTTGTGGTTTGTCTAGTATTTATAAGCACAACTCTGGCACAAGTTTAAAACTAGTTGCTTTCCTTTAAATACTAGAGATAAGGGGTCCTGTGACCTGTAATTGGAGCCTTATCTTTGTATAGTGAAAATTGCATTTCTATGTCAACATCCAGATTGTTTTATATGTTAATATGGTGGCAGGAACCCCTAATAAAAACACTCTGGGGAAATGTTTCTGCAATCATTTAGTTTTATTTTAAATAAAGTTGCCTAGTTAGCCTGTTGAAAACTACAAGAAAGTGCCCCCAAGGACCATGAGATGAGGTCACCCCCAAATAATGATTGTTGTTGTTGTTGAGTACCAACCAGTTAGACCTGACTCAGCTGACACTCCATTAAGTTCTCAGAGGCTGTAAATCACATGGGAGAAGATCAGCCATCTTTCTTCTGCAGAGGAGCTGGTGAATTTGAACCTTAGACCTTTGGGTTGGTAGTGCAGTTCCTTACCACTCAGCCACCAGAATTCCCCACAGTGGTGATAGTATGGGGGAAAAAAATCACAGGTGATGACTAAGATTAACCCTTGGCAGGAGTCACCAGGCTGAATGCAGGAATAGGCTCAAACATAAAGCTCTGATCTAGTTAAAAGTCTGCTGGCCTGGTAGTAGAGAGTTACATTGGCAAACCGAAGACAAATAGTTTAAGTCCACCAGCTACTCCATGAGAGAAGTATGGACAGTCTCCTCCTGTGCTATTTACAGCTTCTGAAAACCCATTGGAGGGCCAGCTATGAGTTGATACTAACCCAAAAGCATGCACAACAACATGGTCTTATGCGGACAAGATAGAGAAGTAGGATACTCAGGTTTCAATCTGGAACATGTCAGTCTTTGGTCATTTACAAAGAATTTTCCAGTGCTGAAGCTTGATGGCACAAGATAGAGAAATAAGGAATTAATGGAAAAATAGAACATTTCATTTAATAGAAAAGTAGAGTATTCCCTCACCACCAGCTAGAAAAGCATCCTTTCCTGTGGTTCCAGAGAGCTCTTACCTCTATGACATTTGTTATTAAACCTTAGCATCTCTCTGTCCTCTGGCCCAGGAAGAATCCCACACTTCCCCTCCTCTCCTCACCACCACACAATGTGGCCTGACAAGTGCTCTGCTTAGGTTTGTCACAAGCAGACCAAACAACCTACACCTGGCAGTTAAGTCGAATTAAAGAGGAGAGCAGCTGGTAACAATCCTAGAAATACCATAGGTACCAGTCAGAGTTGGGCCTGGCTGTAGTGGCCTCTTGGGTCTGTCAAGAGTTAAAAACCAGAGTAAAGGCAAGAAAAGACATTCCAGAACTAGTGCCCATGTGGTGAGTTGGCTCATGAGTCTGGAGTCTGGGCTCTGGCAGCCTTAGCCATCACCTTGGTTTGATATAGTGTCTACAGATTCTAAAATCTCTCCCACAAAATTGCTCTTGAGCAGCTTAGCATCCTGACCCAACCTTGTCTGTTAGGAAAGACTTTTCTTTATTCTTTCATTCTTTGCTGAGCCAAATAGAGGATGGAGTTTGACAAACATTCCAAGCTTGGAGGCAAAGTAGTGGAGAGTGACTTCTGGAATGGCTGCAGTTGATGGGGCTCGAGACTCTTTGGGCCATCTTCTCGACTGGGTGGAGATCATGTGCTAAAAGTCTCTGCTTACTTGTCCTCCTGCTTTTCTCTCTCTCTCTCTTTCTCTTGGGCTTGCTTTTGGACTTCCAGTCCCTGTGCAGTAAACAGACCAAGCAGGACCTTCCTTTGGTGTTCTCAGCCAAGACCCAGCTCTCCATGTGCTCCAGCCTCTGTCTGTGACTGGGTGGGTAAGTTCTCTGGGCCCCCCTCCGTGGGCTCAGCTGTCGTCACTTCAGAGAAGAAGAAAGAAACCATGCTTATGTCTCAGAGCCCAGATGTGCTCTCCAGTCCATTAATAAACTTGATTTCCATCCCCTTATGGTATTTGTATCTATTGTATCTATTGTCTACTGGGAACTGGGGAGATAGGAGGCAGGATGATAAATGCTTAGGATTTCTATATCCACCATTTTTATAAGCAGAGAGTGGGGATGGCATC